TGATTAATAAAGCAAATTTCAAATTATCAAAATTTACAAAATTAAAATCATATTTTAACAGTAGAAAACCTAAAATAAAACAGTAAATTGTATAGTAATAAAAGGTACATTTAAAAATATTCAATCAAGCGGATCCTAAATCAGGTGTTTTATTGCGTACGTAGTTTATAGATGCCTTCTAATAATATACTAAGTATTCATTCTTCAGACTTCATTCAGACTTATTAATATAAATTGTTCTTGCTAAATATCTTCTTCGCATTAATAATGACGTAATTTTTAAAGCATTTTTTTGTGTAATTAATTGTTTACATCTTTTTCATCCGAGTTTTTTTTTAAATAAATTTTCTTATACTCAAGAGTTTTTATTTTAAACATTTTTTCTTATATTCAAGAAGCATTAAGATTTTTTTAGTATTTAGCCTATGACTAAACATACACTCGGGGAAAATTCACTTGAAACAATTGCACAAGTATTTGAGTATTTTACCATTTCATGACCAACTTACAACTGCATCAGAGAAGGTTTTGAACTTTCGAGTTAACTAACTTAAGAAAAAATTGGATCTAAATGATGTTATTAGACTTATTTTCTCCATTTTTAAAATTAAAACAGCAAAAACATGCATTTTACTGCTAGAAAAAATTTATGATAAACCCAGGTTACGGTACCATGGTAAGATAATATTTGGTTAAACAGATGACAAACCTCATTTATTAGCAAACACCAGTAATGAGCTTCATGGTTGTTACATTGTTTCATTGAATCACATGTTTTATAACTTTTTTAAAAAATAAAAAGCACGATAATATATCGTGCTTTTTATTTTTTTGGCAGATAATATATTTCTTTTATTCAATTTTTTTTTAAATAAATATATTTTTGATTTTAGATAAAAATAGTGAAATTATTTAATGTCCTGTTTTTAAAATGATAAAAGAAAGCAGTGATATAATTAAATGTTTAAAAATTGAGGCTCTACTGCTGCTGTTAATAAAAAAATTATATTAGAAACTGTCATATAGTGTAAATCGTCTGAAGGAGTTGCTCACCAGTCACAAAGAAAATAACTTTTATTGTTTCTGCAATGCAATGATTGCAAACAGGTGACCAACGGATCCTTCCACGTCTACCTGATTTTAAAGTGGTGATTTTGAAGTGGTGATTTAAAAGGCAGAAAAATGGTGTGTGAACAAGTCTATATATATATATATATATATATATATATATATATATATATATATATATATATATATATATATATATATATATATATATATATATATATATATATATATATATATATATATATATATATAGTGTCAAAATACCTTTAATGCACAAATCATTAGTATGTATTATTAGGCAATTTTACAACAGTACCATTAGATAAGCCTATAGAAAAAATGCCAAGTGAGAAAATCATTTAATGTCTGTTCAGCAGAAATTAAAAAAGTTATTGAAATAGTTACCATAGTTATCATCCAAAGTTAATAATAAATTTTGAGTAAGGTTTTGATTTAATATAAAATATTACTTCACATTATTCTCGTCAAAAAATGTTAACTTTTACAAATGATATTATCATTTTTGTTGAAAATTTTTCATGGAGATTCATTGAGCGTTTTTATTGAAATGTCATTAGTTTATATTTTAGGGTACGCTATTTGTAAAGCTAAAAATCTAGACGTTATCTTTTATAAACATAGTCAAAAATAAAAAAAACTAAATAACTTGGGTAAACTTTCTTTTGAAAACAAAACGGTTAAGACTATAAAAGTAACTTTAATCAAGTTAAAACTCATTTCAAATAAATAATCTATTTATGAATCAGTAGTTAAAGGAGATTGAAATGCATTCTTATAAGATGAATTATCTCGCATCTCGATCCTAAAATGAAATGATTGAAACGTTGTGTTGACGAAGAGTCTAAGGTTCGATGCTGGTTCTAGCCCAATAAGCAAGATCGGTAAGGAAAGATGCGTAAAATTTCTTGTTAAATACTCCTCCACGGTGCACTGTGATAAGACCATAAGGACTTGTGGGAACACCTTAATAACGACAAAAAATTTTCATTCATATGACTTTGCTAACAATATGCCAAGGAAAGTAAATGGTAAACAAGTTCATCTCTCTCTATTAATAGGACATAAAGCTTTATACGTTACTTGCTAAGCTTACCAAAAAAGAAAATCTTCTTAAACATGGTTTCAATAATTAGGTTTAAAAAATTTATGTATATTTGATTTTACTATATCTTTAATGTTTTTGAATAATGTATTTTCATTACACTTTTCATAAACATTATAGAAATAATTTTATAGATAAACATTAAACGATTAATTTTATAGATATTGTTTTACAAAATTTAGAAGATGTTAACAAAAATAACGAAGCAATAGATAACATAGCTTTATTTGCACATAATCTCGGTATTAATCTAGAAGCTGATTTTAATCTGTACCATTGTTTCAAAAAACTTCCGCAGTGACTTGACTCAAATTTAAATACGCAAGTAATTTTTAATATATATTCATTTTACCGTAACGAATTTAACCTTAATCAACCTTATCACATTATCTAAAGAAAATGTGATTAAGGCTTTAAACTATGTTTTAATACATTCAATAAAGACGCAAGTCTTTATTTAAATGTTGTCATTTCCTTTAAAAAACTGAAACATTTTGATCAATATTATTAATGATATTATTTTTAACAAGCATCAAAGAATGAAAATATAAAGTCATTGATATTTTTCAAGCAGAAATAGATATGTAAAAAAAAAATTTGATAATTGCTCAAGTAATAATTTGATGACTTTATAAAAACATCTATTAAAAATAAAAATGTTTTGCCATGGCTTTATCGAATAAGTTAAAAATGGCTAAAAGAAATATTGTATAGACTTTAAACTGAACATTTAATTCAACCAGGTTCTTATAAAGAACTGGAAGAAAAACAAAAGAAAATTAAAAATGGCGAAAATTACAATAACGCTATTCAAGGAGCCTATTTATTTACTCGAGAATACAATATCACAAATGTTTAATTACGAGAATACAAAAATGTTTAAGAAGAACAACTAAATTCCAAAATGTGTAATATTCAAGAAAAAAAATAAAAATAAAAATAAAAGTGTGCTAACTGTAAAACACGATAGAATTTGTGACCATAAAAAGTATAAAAATCTGACAAAGATTTTTTTGATAACTCGATTATCTATCAATGAACCAATATTTCTGAAATAGTTGGTGGTTATATGGTTTTGGTGGTTTACATCCAATTAAAAGTATAAAAAGAAAAAGAAGAATGAAAAATATTTATTTAAAAACTATGAACATGGGCATATATTAACTGGAATCAACCTTTTATAACTTACTTAGAAAAACTCAATCATTTGATTATTAGAAGCACCCCAACCACCATAAACACCCCAATAAAAGCCTTTTATTAAAAAAATTTAGTTTCAAATCTTTGCGTTTCTCTGCGAACAGACCTCGCGGTCTTCTTTAAGTTTCCATATTCTTTATTTGTTACTTTTATTGTATTATTCCATATTCTTTATTTGTTACTTTTATTTCATTGTATAAAGATAAACAATAAATGTACAATAAAGAAAAAAAAAATAAAACAAAATAAACAAAAAAAAAACTTGTAAATTAGCATTAGCGGCATCGATAAGTGTAGCGACAAACAATAGAACTTTCAGGAAACTTCAAATTATTAAATATTATTTAAGGTAGTTAGCAGTTAATAATAATAGTAGATTGGATGTTCTAATTATTTAGAGTTTAGAAAAACTTGATCATATCAACCTAATTTAAATAAGGACACTTTAAGAAACATAGTAAAACGACAAAATATAACTCTAAAATTAATTTAAAAAATGAGTTTAGATGTTTATAATTTTATTAAAAATTATTTTATTTAACAGAGTTTTTTCTGCAAATAAATAAAAATGTTCGGAGCTGTTAAAACAACAATAAAAAAATATTGCGAAGTTGTTTGGGTTTTATTTTTACTCCAATTTAAAAATAATTTTTCCGTCTCCGCCACCATAACTCACACGGCGTCTAAAATGTTTCGTTTTTCGTTATGATGTGTTCTCTTTAAATGTTGTACTTAAAAAGAACAAATTGTAACAAACTTAGTCTGTTTCTAATTTTTTGAAAACGATAAATTAGATAATTTATTTTTTTGAGTTTATAAAAAAGCTGCAATTTTTATCAAAAATTTGTTATTTAATTAAAAAAAAAAAATTAATCAACAGTTTATTATTTATTGATTTTATTCCCCGGTCTTTTTTAAAGATAGCCCTGAACCCAGGCTAGGCTTTTTTAAATTACAGAGTTTAAGCATGTAGTTTTCAAAAGTATGGCATTCATTTTATAATTTTAAAAATACTTTAAAGTTATTCATTTTTTAATGAAAACAAATTGCATCACTTAAATATTATTCTTAAATTTTGTCTTCAAAAAAAAAAAAAAAAAATGAACTGAAAAAATTATGACAGAAAAATGTCTGAGCGACATGGTAAATTCCTAGACAAAGTTTATCCGAAATCCTTTTCTTTAATCTTTTATAGAGAATGCAAGCCAAAGTACTTAAAAACCTAACCAAATGATACTTTAAAACTCATTACTTATACTGTAATTTCTTAGACGTATTATATAAGGATCAGACTAGGTTAAATTTCAAACAACGTTGTCTCTAATGACATATCACCAACATGTTAAGGTAATTTAAATGGCTCATAAGGTTCTTACTTTCACCGCTTCCGACCCCAAACCCCCTCTCTCTCAAGAAATAAAATCGTTGCTACGATTCCGAAGTTGGCCGTCATACTAAACATTTGTAAACACTTTTCAGAATGTATCCGCAACTTAAATGAAAGTTTAAAAACTGATTCCGACTGAGGGAGTGAAGTAAAGTTCTGGATTTAAAAGCAAAACAGAAACTGTATTTTAGTAATTTATTTTACTCTCAAATATAGACGTAACTCTTCGCATTTATATTAAGTGATGTATTTAAACTTTGTGTTTTATTTGATAGTTTTAATTTATATTTTATCGGAATTTTAGTTTTCATTTAGATGCATTAAACGGAAACCTTATACTTTAGGTTACAGCGCATTTAGTGGTGTTTAACGAATTTATAGTTCTAATTTGAAATGTTATACATTTTGATTGTACATCTTACGTTTAAAAACACAAAAAGTTTAAAAGCATTAGTTTCCAATTAAATATGTCGTGTTTTATTTATAAAAGTTAAAGTTTTAAAACAAGGCTAAGAACAAGAAAATGATTTTATTATAATGTGTTCAGAAATCATAAAATAAAGAGTAAATAAAATAGTTTGGTGGAGAAGTATCTAAACCTATCAAAACTGTGCACAAGACTACCTTACCTAGAGAATTACTTTAGTTTCAAAAATGTATGTTAGCATTGAATTAAATTTTGTTTTAGAATCTTTAAAAGTATAGTTATAAAATTGAATCTTGGTATTGACTTATTAAATGATAAGTGTTTTAAGTTAGAAAAATATTACTCTTGTTTAATTCTAGTGTCTGATATATTGCTTATATACAATTATTAAATATGTTGTGTTATTTTTTTTTTTTATTTGTGTTATATATATACTCTTCTTGTATGGTCGTTTTTAATTTTACCATTGCTAGGTCAATTTTAGGATTTAAAAAATTGCTAGGTCAATTTTAGGATATAACCTTTATTTTGTCCGTTTAATATATATATATATATATATATATATATATATATATATATATATATATATATATATATATGTGTGTGTGTGTGTGTGTGTGTGTATTACGGTGATTCTTTAAACAACTTTTTAAGAAAAAATGCTCCTGCCCCCTAAATGTGTTCTATCTAATACAAAAATATTAGATTAAAAAATTTTTTGAACAAAAAATATTTTTAGGGTGAACTCATTGCCAGAGGAGTCCCTAATATTTTGAAAAAAAAACTTTTTTTAAAGTATGTTAGCCTGGTGCTCAAAATAAGCAAAATTATATTAAGAATTTAAAAATGAAAATAATTTTTTCAGGTATAAAAGCATAAAAACTATTGTTTTTAAGCTAAAAATGAAAAAAGTCAATATTCTCAGGTTTTTTGAGAATAATTTTTTTATATTTTTTTAATATTCCTTCTTTTGAGTACCAGGTTGACATACTTTAGAAGAATTTTTTTTTTCAAAATATAAGGGACCCTTCAAATTTTTGAAGGCCTTGAGCTACCCCTAAATATTTTTTGTTCAAAAAAATTTTAAACCTAGTGTTTTTGTATTAGATAGAACACATTTAGGGGGTGGGAGCAGGTTTTTCTCAAAAAAGTTATTTTAAGAGTCACCCTAATATATATATATATATATATATATATATATATATATATATATATATATATATATATATATATATATATATATATATATATATATATATATATATATATATATATATATATATATATATATATATATATTCATTTGTTGTTGCTGTTCGATTATCCAGAGAAAGCCTTTCTCTGTATCTTTCTCAGAAAAGCACCACTCTAAAATGATTGCCTAAATATATTTTAACTAGATTTATAAAGTATTTATAATTTGGTTGGTTTGGGTTAGTTTTGGTCTTTGCTGAAAATTGTGGCTTATTGTCCCTCATATCAGCTGCCTTTTCTAATTTATGATTGGAGTATTTCATTATAGAATTAGATACCATCTACAATTCTAGGAGACATATGCGGTTTCTCTCTCATTTGTCCACAAAAAAGTTTTTTATTTAGACAACTTGGTCATGGCTGTTTTCAAGTTTTATATATTAAGGGTTTCAATACTTTGCAGCAGAAAAAGTTTCACAAGCAAAGAAAGTAAAACTAATAAAATAGGAAGTTAAAATAAATTTAAATAAGAAAAAAAAATAATTAATAATTTAAATAATTTATTCATATTTCCGTTTCATTAGGATGGTTATTAATTTCAGCAACGAAATCTAATAAGGCAAAGCAAAATAAGAACTAGATTCAAGTCAATATAAAAAAGACTGATTTTCCTATTTGTATAATGCATGCGTATATATTAATATACATTCATATTTATCATATTCTACATCACTTTATAAATTATATAATCAAATTTATTTGTTCATTAGTATTTGCGTGTTTAGCTTATTTTGATAATGCATTTTCTTTATACACAGAATGGCAGTGGTTCAAATCCTTTCTTATACCTTCTCAGTGTATTTTCTAATTAAATCACACATACATATATGCATACTTTTTAAACTTCAGTTATGCTATGCTGTCTATAGATTTTTTATATAGTCCTAATTGTTTTGTATTACCTTTCTATTCCTGTATGTTTTTTATCCTCAATTTTTAACGCCTTGTTATTTTGGATACCTTTTGCTTTTTAACATTTGGCTCAGTGCGTATAGTTCTACCCGCTCCCTCCCTTTTGGTCTACTATGTTATTTTTGAAATAGACGTAAACAATTATTAATAATAAATTTTTGCTTGAATTTTGTGCTTTTATACTGGACATCAGTCCAACACCATTTAATAGTTTTTATCTAACTCTTAATCTAATATAATCTTTTCTTCTTTTTACCTGAAACTCCTATGGCTGAATGTGTTCTACTAAAGTAACTGGTTATCGAGACTCATTTCAAATTATAGATGTTAGTTTAACAAGTATATGTATTACAAAAAAAAATCTTTGGAAATACTAAATTTAATAACAACCATCTTAAAAAGATGAATATAAAATTAGTACACAAATTATTTAAATTAGTAATATTTTTAATTTTTTTATATTTAAATTTATTTAAATTTCTTATTTTGTTAGTTATGCTTGCTTTATTTTTTTCTGCAAAGTATTTATACGCCTAATATATAAAACACGCAAACAGCTGTGACCATATTGTCTAAATAAAAAACTTTTTGGTGGACAAACAAGACAGAAAACTCTCCGCCTCTCCAGAGAAGGCTTGACCTACCAATGGAATAAAAAAAAAAGTAGTTTTCTCCCCTCTAAATTTAGTTTAAAAAACGTTTTAAAAAGAGTTTTATCTTTTTGGTGTACTTTATGAAACAAATGGCAACATTTCTTTTAGAGACTTCTTATTCAACCTATACTGTAATTGAAATAATGGAAAAAAAACCTTCTTAGTCAATTTATAAAATAATCATAATATTTGTGTTTCTAAGTAAATGTACACCACATAGATCAAATAAATTTAAAGATCTTTATAAAAGATAAAGAAATATAATACTTGCCTAATCAGTAAATGATATAGGAAATTTCTGTTTGAATAGAAATTGTAGGTTCGTGAATGAAACTATAATTTCTATAACTTTAATTTAATAACTGTTTATTTATTTGATTTAACTTTACAATTGTACAATTTTTTGATCTTTCACACATTAAAGCAATAAAACCCAAAATAAAGCTTTGAACTAAAAATACACCATACCAAAACCTAAAGTAAAGCCTTGAAATTATTAAAAAAAAAATTGTTTATAAAACTTTTTATTTATTTTATTCATTTTTTACTTAAAACTCAATTTTTCCAACTACATAAAGTTTGATTTCAAAGTGTTACTGATAGGTCATATTATTCAGAAAATAGAATAAATTAATAAATATTTTCATGGCAATGTGTTTATTATTATAAAAAATTCAAACAGATAAGATTTTTTTTTTTTCAAAAAGAGTAGGTACACTTGACAGAGGCGTGCCAAGATTTTTTTTTTTATTATTAAAAAAAAAAAAAAAAAATAGAAAAGTATTATTTCTTAAATCTTTGAGCGTAGTTTTATTAATTTTTATTTTTTTATTTTAGGTCAGAAAGAATGCCTATAAATGGAGGTAACGACAGGTAACAGCATTTTCATAAGAGACAGTTTATTATTTTATAAATGATATTTTATTAATTTAATGATATATTTATGATGTAATATGTTACCTTTAATTCATTTAATGTAATATTTGTTTTACTATGGTAATTCATTTTGTAGTTTTAACAATGAAACTTTAATAATGAAACTAAAATATTATATTAAAAAATGTTATAAGGTTATAACAAAAATTTTCTTACAGTTTTTTAAATGTTTTAATAAAATTGTTTTAAAATTTGTTTCCTTCTACTTAATCCTTCCTTTTTAAAAGTACAAAAATTTTAATTTTTAGTTTTAACAGCAATTTCACTTTTATTTTTCTAATAATAATTTTATTTTTAAAATTAAATAACTATCACTTTAATTTGCTCCAATAAAGCTCTAATACTTATATATCAATTCACCTATTTTTTATAAAATCAGGTTCAAGTTTTTAGATTATTCTTTTTTTAGCATCTTTCACATAATCACCTTTTTATTTGTTCTTTATCGTTCTCTTTCTCCTCAAAACCGACTCTTTTCAATGTTATTTCTAATGAAATTGACATAGCACTTTCTTATTAAACTTAAACTAATATGTTGTTATTGGTGACATAAATGCTCCTCACACTAAATAGCTTAGCTCTAGCACCACTGACCCTGTTGGTTTGAAAACTCAAAACCTTTTTATTTCTCAATCTCTTACTCAGATAGTTAACTTTAAGATTTGTTTTTAACGAGAGGTTCTAGAGAATTTTTAACAGTATCATTAACTAAGGTAAGTCTCACATTCCATCTCTAATACATGAATCTGATTTTATTTCTAGGTATTGGAAAATTACTGAAATTTTCCTTTATCTGTTACTCAGTAAAAAAAAAATTCCTATTCCAGATTACTGGTAAATTACAATTAATCTTACACATTTTTTGAAATTGTTATAAAAAGCATATTGTTATATATAAAAAAAAAAAAAAGTTCAGAAAATTGTAAAATTCAAAACATTTTTATTACTTATAGTTTATACTATTACTATTATATAATATAAATAAGCCGCAAAAATTACATTTTATAACTCAATTTATAAAGAAATAATATAAGGATAAGTCAATTAGGTTTTATTGCATCATCCTTTTAAAAATATGCTCACAAAAAACATAAACCATCTGTGCTTCTTATACTCAGTTGTGATCTTATTTTGTGGTGATAAGGCTAGCATCAAAAAAGGCATCTTCTGATTTGACACTTGTTAGTGCAAACATAAGTTGTATGTAATTTTGAACATGTCTTATGTAATTTTTAAATATCTGTAATAAAGTTTTTGACTTGCAATTAAGTTATTTTTTTCCTTACAAAATTTTAAAAATCTTTTCTGTTTTTCTAATGCTGCAACATTGTTAGCAGGATACTCTAACGAGTTCAAGTCTCTAAAATTAATGAAATCTCTTCACATAGTTCCAGTGTTGGCATTAAAAAACCTGCTAAAAAAATCCCCGCCTAATAAAACTCAATAAAACCCGCCTAAAGAAACCCAATAAAACCTGGGCAATCTGGGTTTTCTTGAGTTTTTTTTAAAGATATTTTATAATTTTATAAACTATTATAACCAACATTTCAGAATACATAATCATATTAAAAGTTTGCAAATCCATATAATAAATTTACAAATCTCTTCAAGTAATTTTTTCTCAACTGATTTCTTGTTTCTTGGGTTAATAATAGACCACCAATCACTGCACAATATTGTTGATATATTTTGATTGCTTAGCATCCTTCTATCAATCCTTAAGCTTAAGCAAAATCAACCAAGTTACAAAATCAGGATAATGATTGTAAAGCCATTTTCTGCTTTATCTTCATTTTAAATCTTAGGTTTTTACCTATAAAAATTTTTCTTTGTTTATTATTTAATCCTATTTTTAATTATTATTTTTCCTTCAGGTCTATAAAGACTTGTTTTGTAATAAAGATTATAATTTAAAAAAATTAAATACTTGATCTAAAATAACACCAAATTATTTGAGTTGAATTTAATCACTGCTAACTTCTCTATTGCTAGATTTTCAATGATATTGAATTGATATTGTGTATGATTTATTTTAGCTATAATTCTTTAGCATATTTTCTCTGCATATTCATTTTCAGTTTTTTGAATTGTATCTGGAGACTTAAGAATACTAGTGTCACCCCTAAATTAAACAAAGCCTCATGAACAAAATATAAGAAATAATATATCAAACTTTGGCTGTTTGCCAAAGTTCGGTATTGGATGCAGTTTAAAATCCTTTTAACTGATCTTTTTTTTTAAGGCATTATTTACTCATTTAGGCATTAAAATTTATTTGTTTATTTACTTATTTAGACATAAGACTTTATTTGTTTATTTGATTACTTTTTTATAAGAAAATATTATTTTATTAATTTATTTACTTATTTAGACATTATAAGATATTTAAGTTTCAATTTTTTTAAATTATAAATAGATTATAAATTCAAATACTCAGTATGTTACTCAGTGTTACATTTAGAATTATACTTCTTTATTATTTCTTGAAATGAATTAATAAATGAGTTAACAAAATTTAGTAATATTTTTAAATACCTTAATAAATTTTTTTACTAGTTTTTGCAGTAATATTATTATGTATTTGTTTTATAAAGGCTGGCTAGTACCCAAAAGCAAGTTGATCAGGTAAGATTTAAAATCTTTTATGTCCACTTTTTTATATAAGTTATAAAGCAATTAAAAATAGTTCTTTTCCTACACACTCCACATGACTACTTCCAAGGTTTTCTTGCTCAATCAATAAGATTTATAAAGAATAGAACAAGATTGTACATTGTGTAGGATTTAGATGTGTAACTTGCTTTGTTAAATTTTACCCTTACTCTTTTTGCTTTAATTTCATCTTTTCAACACTGAATTCTTAGTGTTAGTTCTTCTGTATCTCCAATCAAACCATATTTATATAAACATAAACTAATACAAACACATTACATATTTAATGAAGGTAAGTGCAACACTGAATATACATACATACATACATTCGTGCATGCATATATATATATATATATATATATATATATATATATATATATATATATATATATATATATATATATATATATGTGTCAGAGCTTGATTTAAAGCATTAAGCTGCCGTCAATTTACGTACGAATTACGTAGCCCTAGAGCAATTTGCATGAAGCAACTTTTGAAATTTTTTTAACTTTTAAATTACTCTATTAAGCGGTATGATAAAAGAAGTAATTAATTTTATAAAAAAACCACTTTGACGTTTATGCAAAAAAGTTTGAATGACAATTATGTTAGATGTAAACGCTATTTACTCATGAAAAAAATTAAAAGCGCTATTTACTAATGAAAAAAATTAAAAACTACAAAAACTCTATTAAGCTAATTATTATATCAAACAGAGAACATAATTGTTTATTGTAACGATTATAGTTTTTTTTATGCGAAGTTATTAAAAAAAAAAACATAAAAGAAATATATATAATAAAAACTTTTATCATCTTGAGAGGACAAGAATTGTATATGCAACTTTTGATTGCATTAAAAAAATTTACTTAAATTTCTATTTCTATAGTAATAAATAATTTCTACTTAATTTTTTTTTCTTTTTTGTAATGATCGATTTTTTCACTTGGAAAAAGCTAACGCTTTAAGCTTGAAGCAAAGATCATTATAATATAATTTATTTCTGATAAAAAAATAAATGGTTTAATTTAAAAATAATTTAACAAATATTGCAAAATATTATTCAATATTTGAATTTTATTTGTTCTTAAATAAAAATTAGCTCATTTATCGTAATTGTTTTTTCGGCTTTCCTTCCCAAACATTTTTTTATTAACTCAAAATTAAATTTTAAATAAATTGCTGCATCAAAAATTTGCACAAAATGTAAGTTAAACTTTATATGGCAAGTTAAATTGCAGCGATTATTTTTTAATAAATGTTGTTTGGAAAATTAATATTTGCTTTCACTACAAAATCGTTAACAAAATAATAAACTTTTAATAAATAAAAGTAGATAAATTAACGTAATTTTTTTAATGTTTTTTGCTAATTTTTTTTTAATAAAAAATCTTATTTAGTTGCATTTTTTTTTTAATGATTAAAATAAATGTGCTACTAAACTTTTTTTTAATGATTAAAAATTATGTTAAATTTTTTTTTTTCAAATTAACATTTTTTAATTCATTCATGCAAATGTTGAGGAAAATAATTTTTTACATGAAAATTATTTTTTTAATGTAATATTAAATTTAATTATTTAATATAAAAAAAAAAAAGAAAGAAATAAACATTTTGTATTAATAAAAATTAGGCATTTGTTATTTAAAACAAGGCCTATATATATATATATATATATATATATATATATGTTTGTATATATATATATATATATATATATATATATATATATATATATATATATATATATATATGTGTGTGTGTGTATATATATATATATATATATATATACATATGTATATATATATATATGTATATACATATATATATATATATATATATATATATATATATATATATATATATATATATATATGTATATATATATATATGTATATATATATATATATATATATATATATATATATATATATATATATATATATATATATATATATATATATATATATATATATATATATATGATTTAAAGGATAACATCTTGTGTGAGAGTATATTTATATATTATTTTAAAACATCAAAAATACGATTTCTCTCAACACTTATAATTTTTTTATTATTTTAGAAATTTTCGCTGGATTTTAGATACCAGCTTCTTCAGCTTGTTAAATGTTACAGTAATTAATAAAATTGTTATAATTTAAATTAAAACGTTGCTATTGACGTCAGCGGTTGAATGGCTTCTTTTTCGCTGAAATTTAAAAAATGGCGTCCAAAACTTAGTTTTTACGTATTGACCCTCATCGAGATTAATCCCGCCATTTTTTGCAGAACACATGTTTTTTTGTATTTCTAGGGCTTCCCTAACTTTTCTTTCAAATTTTTTATTTTCTACTTTCAATGTTTTTGTTTGTTCCCAAATAATTTCTTTTTTGCAAAATGTTTTATGCAGAGCTAATGCGGATTGATGCTGCTTATTTTCATCAATGCTTTTTTGGTGTTGATGCATTCGTGTGTTTACTTTCATTTTTGTTTCGCCTACATACACTTTTGAACAGTTGCATTTGATTATATATGTTCCCGGTTGACTGTTATTAGGTAGTTTTGATTTATTTTTTGATGTTAACAGGGATCTTAAGTTTGGGTTTGATTTGAATACCGCTCTGTAACCAGCTTTTCGGAATATTTTCCTAAGTTTTGGTGAGAGACCGGGTACCCATGGTAAGGAAACTACAGGATAATTATTGATTTCAGATGGAATTGTAATTTTATTTTGTCTTTTGTGTTGAAACTGATGCGCAATATTCATCATTTGAGTTTTATCGTAAAATTAACAAGACTAAGTATACCTGAAATAAAACAACTTATAGAACTTTGTTTATTTCAATGTTATTTTCATTGGAACAATGAAATTCATATAATGGAAAACTCGGGTATAATTGGACTTTCGTTCATGGTCGTTCTTGCAGAATCATTTCTACAATTCCATGAAAACAATGCAATTAAAGTTGCACTAAATTTCAACCCTGCACTTAACCTCAAATCGTTCTTAAGATATGTCGATGATAGTCACGCAAGGTTTCCAGATCTCAACCAAGCAAAACATTTCCAATACATTTTAAATCAACAACATCCTTCCATCCAGTATACAATTGAAGTTGAAAACGAGTTAGGAACACTAAATTATCTGGATATACAAATTATGAATAAAAAAACAGGAAAGTATGAATACGCAGTATATCGGAAAGATGCTATCACTAACATTCAAATTAAGCCACACTCAAATCATGATCCAAATATCTTGAACTCTATTTTTAAAGGATTTCTCCACCAAGCTTACTCAATCTGTAGTAAGTCTTACTTGCAAAATGAAATAAATTTTCTAATCGACGTGTTTATTGAAAATGGTTACGATAAAACTCAAATGATGAATATTGCGCATCAGTTTCAACACAAAAGACAAAATAAAATTACAATTCTATCTGAAATCAATAATTATCCTGTAGTTTCCTTACCATGGGTACCCGGTCTCTCACCAAAACTTAGGAAAATATTCCGAAAAGCTGGTTACAGAGCGGTATTCAAATCAAACCCAAACTTAAGATCCCTGTTAACATCAAAAAATAAATCAAAACTACCTAATAACAGTCAACCGGGAACATATATAATCAAATGCAACTGTTCAAAAGTGTATGTAGGCGAAACAAAAATGAAAGTAAACACACGAATGCATCAACACCAAAAAAGCATTGATGAAAATAAGCAGCATCAATCCGCATTAGCTCTGCATAAAACATTTTGCAAAAAAGAAATTATTTGGGAACAAACAAAAACATTGAAAGTAGAAAATAAAAAATTTGAAAGAAAAGTTAGGGAAGCCCTAGAAATACAAAAAAACATGTGTTCTGCAAAAAATGGCGGGATTAATCTCGATGAGGGTCAATACGTAAAAACTAAGTTTTGGACGCCATTTTTTAAATTTCAGCGAAAAAGAAGCCATTCAACCGCTGACGTCAATAGCAACGTTTTAATTTAAATTATAACAATTTTATTAATTACTGTAACATTTAACAAGCTGAAGAAGCTGGTATCTAAAATCCAGCGAAAATTTCTAAAATAATAAAAAAATTATAAGTGTTGAGAGAAATCGTATTTTTGATGTTTTAAAATAATATATAAATATACTCTCACACAAGATGTTATCCTTTAAATCATATATATATATATATATATATATATATATATATATATATATATATATATATATATATATATATATATATATATATATATATATATATATATATATATATATATATCTGTGTGTGCATGTGATAAAAAAAGTTTATCTTTTGTTTTACTTTGTCATACATACACATATACATGTAGAATTGGATATATTTATTTATACATATACATAAATAGCTTGTCTATAGATTGATCATTAAAAAAATGTGCAATTAAATTGTTAAAACTTTGTCAAAATTAAATTAATTTTAATAAGGTTGTAGACATTATGCGACAAAATATGGATAAGGTGCTTGAGAGAGATGCCAAGCTATCAGAACTAGATAATCGCGCAGAAAATCTCCAAGCAGGTGCCTCTCAATTTGAGACAGCTGCTGGGAAGCTGAAAAGAAAGATGTGGTGGCAGAATTGCAAGGTAAATATTTCATTTTTTGTTGTGATTTTTTGTTTGTTTGTTTGTTCAAAAACAGTGAGAGATCAGCCATTAGCTTTTAAAATTATGCATAACATTTTAATTGTAAAATGTCATAATAGTATAAAATAAATAATTATTTTTAAAAATAACACAATGTTTTTTATTCTTGACATTTTTCGTAAAATTTATTTACATTTTCAAAAGATTATTTTACAATAATAAAACTCTGAAATAAATATTAAAAAACAAAAGTCTTTACAGAGAAATAATAACTGACAAAAATTTGCATAATGAACCAATATATTTATTACAAAATAACTCAGTAAATAACCAATCAAAATAACTAACTGTCAAACAAAAAATAATAATAATAATAATAATCTTTAATTTGTGTTTGCTTGGGGCATTATCCAAAATCTCAAAAGCTAACTGTGATTATTTTGAGATTTTGGATAATGCTCCAACAAAACACAAATTAAAGATAAAAGAAGCCCTCCACATTTAATGGGAAAGTCCCTCACTTAATAAACAAACTTCACATTATGCTATAAACTTATCTATTTAATTTTACTGTCAGTTTATTATTATTATTATTATTTTTTTGTTTGACAGTTAGTTATTTTGATTGGTTATTTACCGAGTTATTTTGTAATAAATATATTGGTTCATTATGTAAATTTTTGTCCTTTATTATTTCTCTGTAAAGACTTCTTTTTTTTAATATTTACTTCAGAGTTTTATTATTGTAAAATATTCTTTTGAAAATGTAAATAAATTTTACATTTTCAAAAGACTATTAAAATAAAAGACATCGTGTTATTTTTAAAAATAACTGTTTTTAATAACAAAATATCTAATTTGCATAGACTGGATAGAACTTGTCTAAATAGAGCTATCAATTTAAGTCATTGATTGTTACATAGTATTTAAACCCCTCTATCTTATTATTAAAGATTAAGTTAATTTGTTAATTAACTTACAATATGGATTTCGATCTTCTCGTTCTACTGCTGATTTGCTATCAGTAATAAACAATAGGTTTTATCGCGCATTAGATAAAGGTGGAGAGGTTAAGGCCATCGCTCTTGACATTTCTAAAGCGTTTGATAAAGTTTGGCATGCTGGTCTTCTTCATAAGCTTTCTTCTTACGGTGTATCTGGAAATATTAAGATTATTGAATCCTTCTTTTCCAATCATAGTATAAAAGTTGTCCTTGATGGACAGCACTCTTCTTCTTATTCTGTAACCTCAGGGGTTCCCCAAGGTTCAATCCTTGGCCCTATACTCTTTTACATTAACGATTTTCCAGATATTCTCACATCTAAGGTAGCATTGTTTGCTGATGATACTACTATTTATTCTTGTCACGATAAGAAGCTAACCCCCTCTGATTGCTTGCAGGGGCCATCTGAGCTTGAAAAGGATCTCACTTCTGCTACAGCATGGCGCTCACAGTGGCTGGTAAACTTTAATTCAGATAAAACTCAATTTTTTTCAGCGAATCGTTATTGCAATAATTTAGGTTTTCCTATATTTATGAACGGTAATGTACTCGATGAGTCTCCTACCCTTCATCTTCTAGGATTAACTCTTCTGATCTTTCTTGGAAACCTTATATCAAATCCGTTGCAAAATTAGCATCTGCTAAAGTTCCTTCTCTTTATCGAGCTCGTCTCTTTCTTACTCTAGATTCTATTCTCTATCTCTATAGATCTCAAATCCGGCCTTGTACGGAATACTGTTGCCATATCTGGGGCGGATCTCCTAATGATGCCCTTTCTCTTTTAGACAAAGTGCAAAAAGGCATTGTAAACATAGTTAGACCTGCTCTTGCAGCCAACCTTTAACCTCTGTCACATTGTTGTGTTGTAGCTTCTCTTTCTCTTTTCTACAAATACTATAATGGGCAATGCTCTAAAGAGCTAGCGTCTCTTGTGCCATCTACTAAAATTCATTCTCGTGTTACTCGTCATTTAATCAAGTCTAATCCTTTTTCTGTTACTGTTCCTAAGTGCTCTAAAAACTCTTATTCGTCTAGTTTTTTTCCTCGAACATCAGTTCTTTGGAATTCGCTTCCTGTATCTTGCTTTCCTGATTCATATAATTTGCAATCTTTTAAGTCGTATGTCAATCGTTATCTTGCTCTACAATCTTCATCTTTTCTCTTCCAGTAACTTCCAACACTAGTTAGTGGTTGCTTGCAGCCTTGTTGGAAGCGAAGATGTTTAAAAAAAAAAAAAACTCAATAACATTTTTTGCTTGTTATTTTATTTATTTAGCATTTGTTTTTGTTAAATTTTTCACATAACTTGGTTAAATTGTAATGTTAAAATTTAGTCCTAACATTCCAATTACTCTGGTTTACAAAATCTTTATTGCATTAAATTTGACGCCTGATCTTATATAATTTTAATATGCTGAATTCAAATCTGACATCAAATTTTAGGGAAAGCTTTTGATTTTTTGCAATTAATATTTTTTTATTTTGAAAATTATTAAAAACAATTCTAAAAAACTAATTTCAAATACTAGGATATGTTTTCAAAAATATAGTTTGTTTACGAAATTAAAATAAGAATAGAAAAAAAAATTAAAATAAATGTTAACTGCCTAAAATTAAAATTTTATAAATATCAAAGTCCTATCAAACTCATCAACTTTTTATTGATTGATAACAATATAATATTTACTTCATTTTTAAAAAAGATAGCAGATAGTATTGTTTAATTAAATCTACTTAATCAAGAAAAAACTTGATCTTGTTTCTCTTTTATAAAATAATGCTGTAACAAAGTACTAAAAACAATCACTATATGTTTTCGTTGCGTTAACAAAATGTTTCTCGAATCCAAGTTGTTGTTTTTTTCCTTTTCCAACCAACAATAGGTTCATTCACAATATTTTGCATGCTCACTGTGAGATTGTAGGGAATTGGCCATTGTTTTTGTATTCAGTGTTGGTTTCTAACTCAACTGTCCCACATACAGAAATAACATTAACATTTTGTAAAACCTTTCTGCTACCTAAGGAAAAAATAAACCATTTTTAGATCTACACAAATAATCCAGTTGTTATGGTATTTAATCCAATTAAGCACCATTTTAATGTCATAGTAAGTCTCTTACAAATAAACAGAATGACCAATTGGTGCAGAATCAAAAGTATTGCCATTGTGTAAAATAATACATTTGAGGCTTCGCTTTGAGCTATCAATAAAAATCTCGATTCTGTTGGATTGTATACAGTTAACAAGGGTTTAACTATTGTTCTCAAGTAAGAAACTTTTCCAAAGAAGGTTCTTTTCCTTTAATTGAGATGTTAATAATTCTGTTGCACGATTAGAAAGTAATAAATCTTTAGTAAGATGGAATTGAAAGTCATTCAATTCTATCTTACTAAAGCACTGAGACAAATTGAATTGTTTAGCATTAGATGAGAAGTCTTCCAAATCTAATAAAAGTTCTTCTATATCTGACAAAAAAAAACCTTTAATAATTGGAACAGGAATCTCATTAGAATGTTGAATTATATAATAGCAGAAGGAATATTGGGATAAGCTATTTTTTGTCTCTTTATTTTGCCTATACCAGTATTATCAAGGCGAAAATAACAGTATAAATAGGGCACACAGTATGTGGAGCTCACTTTTTGTCTTGCTCACCAATATAAATATTGAAATACAATTTATATGCTAGTTATACAAAATTACTAATATTTCATTTTTGTTGAATTTGTGTATAGCAACCACAGATATAACAGAATGAGTTAGGTCTATGTATGCGCTTTTGTCGATTTGAAGAAGCCATCATATTATATTTAATCTGAAAAAAAAACCTTTAATAATTGGAACAGGAATCTCATTAGAATGTTGAATTGGTATAATAGCAGAAGGAATATTGGGATAAGCTATTTTTTGCCTCTTTATTTTGCCTATACCAGTAATATCAAGACGAAAATAACAGTATAAATAAGGCACACAGTATGTGGAGCTCACTTTTTGTCTTGCTGCACAATATAAATATTGAAATACAATTTATATGCTAGTTATACAAAATTACTAATATTTCATTTTTGTTGAATTTATGTATAGCAACCACAGATATAACAGAATGAGTTAGGTCTATGTATGCGCTTTTGTCGATTTGAAGAAGCCATCATATTATATTTAATCTGAAAAAAACAATGAAATGGTTATTTTTTTCATAACTAATGAATGAAAATATTGTGAAAAATAATATTTTTTTTAAAATTAACAAATTGATTAGTGCAAAAAAACTCGAGCTTGCCAACATAAACAGAGCTTATAATTAGATTTAGCGTTTAAAAATCAGTTTAGGTACCATGCAACAAAAAAAAGTTTTTTTTGGTAGACCAGTGTTATTTGGTTGAAATTACTTCTTACTTAAATTTATCTACAACTTGTGGTCTGAGCAATAGTTGTGCCACAGTCCTACAATAGCTTTCCCCAAAACTAGAACTGTTCAATACATTCTAAACTGGAAAGAACAGTCTGTGATTTCTATTTTTAAAAATTTCAATGATTGCTCCGAACTCTTTTACTATTATCCAATCAGTCTTTGTCATGTACAGAATGTTAAGATATGTACAGATTTCAATCTTATTGTTTTACTGCTGATTTGATAACTACATTAGCAACTGTATCAGGTTCAGTTATGTATCAAGCGAAATGGTCAAGGTAAGAGCAATCAATCTTAACATATGAAAAGTTCTTGATAACATTTTTTGATGAAGTCTGGCATGCTGGTTTTAAGCTTTCTTCATCTATATCTGTAAAATTTTCAAAATTATTTAATCATTTCATCTTGATGATCAACACTCTGTTTCATTACTAGTTACATCTTGGGGACTGCAAGGCTCCAGCTTTGGCCCCATGTTGTTTCTCATCTTTTTTATTGATTATCCTGATAATTTTACCTCTAAAATTTTTTAGAGGTAAGATTATCAACTCTTAAAAATTATCACTTTTTGTTCTCTTTGA